CTGAGGACCTATCCACGCCATCATTTACCCAGAATGCTTTGTGTGTAAATAAAATGGCTCCGTCCTTGTTAAAATATATTTTGAAATATTTACAAAACTGAACATCCTACAGTATTTTTACAGTCTTTATTTTACAGTTAAAATTAATCAAAAGTTAGTTAAACAACTAGTTAAAAAATTAGTTAAAAGTTTATCAAATAAAGTCTAATGTTACAACTAATCATGAATCCCCTTAAGATATTTCATGACTATGGTGCAGAGCCCAGTTCCTATTGGCTAAAACTGAACTCATACTCTGCAAGAGCTGAAGAAATTTAAATTCTATTTCAAAATTCTATTTAAAAATACTTTATTAATCCCACATGGAAATAAATGTAACTCATATTATCCTGGTTTCTTTAAACAGTTATTATAGATACTGATGGCTGTGGGCAGGAAGGATCTCTTGTACCAATCATCTTACAGCAGCTTATTTTCCTGCAGCACTGTGTATCTGTCAGACTGTAAAAAAGGGATTGTACACTTATCCCCAGAGCAAATTTCAAGTATTTTCAAGGTAAAAATTTGAACGTATCTAGCATCAAACTTCAGAGCAGTCTGTATCTCTGTGCTCCATTTCACCACAACACAGCAGTCCCTATGTGAAGGAAGCCCATTTTAAACATAAAAACAGCTCCATCCATCCTTCAAGCAATCCATTTGCATATTACCTGCATAGTTGTTTAAATTTAAGATTCCCTCCCACTATTTATGAATTATGGCTTGAGAGCACAGAATCTCCCATCGCCATCAGCTGCAGGTTCTTTCTGTATACATTGCAGGAAGCTCCTTGTTGCGATCATGTTTTCTATCTAGGGTTTTTCAAGCAAGTGGTTATTAAAATGACACACCCTCACAATCCAATCTTCTGTCTGCATATATATTGATACCCGCATATTACTATAAAAAATATATTAAAGGCAGATTTTTATCAATCAAGCACATTCAAATTTCACTATTTACCTCAATTTTTTCAAACATTTTTCAGGTAAGAATGCTTCAGAACACCCTCTCCACATGATGCACACTCATTTTATAAATACTGGAAAATGACTGGATTAAATTTTAAGACTATATTGCCCATCCCTTCTGAATAGTAGAAAAACTGTCTAGGAAACCGAAACCATTCAAGCTGAACTCTAAGTTCAAGATGTAGTCAAGATATGGGTGTCAAGACCCAGGACCCTCCACAACGGGCAATAAAACACAAAAAAGGCCTGACAGGAATTCACCAAAACACGTCAATTTATTTATTTCAAGTTTATTTATTTAAATAGCTCCAAGTCACAACATACGTTGTCTCAGGGAACTGTACATAAAAAGAACAATCTAAAGAAGAAACCAGCAGATTGTGTTGAATCACTTCATCACAGTCTCCCATCCTGAGCAAACGGTGGAGAGGAAAAACTCCCTGCTGATCAGGAAGAAACCTCCAGCAGAACCAGGCTCGGGGCAAAAGCCACAAGTGTTCTGGGAGACGTTAGCAGGACTGATGAGACAAAACTAGGACATGTTGTAACTGCTCACCTCAGTTCTGTTCACAGAAGGAAATATGAAGCCTTACACATACAGCCAAGTATGAAGGAAGTTTTCATGTATCTGGCACAAGAAACCTTGAATCTGAGCAAATACAATCAGGTCTCAAGACTATCAAGGCTCCTGGAGCAGAACATAGCACCCAGTGTCAGAAAGCTCACCTCAGTGGCTCAGCTCACAGATGTGTCAACAAAACACACAGCTGAAAGCATTCAAAGTGTCTTCACAGACAGACATCTGAATGTAAGTCAGCATCTATGAAAAAATGTTAAAACTGCAGTGTGTTGATGTCCTTCAAACCTGACACAACTTAAGGAGTTTTCTCATCAAGACAAGCTGGCCAAACTTCAGACTGGTAAATGCAGACGACTCTTTGTGAAGGATCCTTTTTTGTTTTACAAAATGAATGTTCAACTGAATCAATAACCTAAAGCAAATTCTGACTTGTGTTAAATATGGAGGACATAAGGAATGCCACTAAACTCCTCTTTTCTCTTTAAGACATTATGTGAACAATTCATCCATAACATTTTGTGTGTACATAGACCGTTTCACAAAGCATTGTTTTATTTCAAATCTTTGTGTAGTCTTCATTTTAGCTGAACTGGTTTCCCAGTTTACATACCTGTTCTGGTAACTGAAGTACACGGCATCTCTGGGAATCGTGCACAGCTGCTTTCCATAGCAGCACAGAGTCTGAGGAGAGAACTCCAGCTGATGGACAGATGACAGAAAAGAAACAGCTTGGTGACGAAATGAAGCAGGTGTCAGCCCTTACCATCAGTTACTGTATTTGTGTTTAGTCTCTCACCTTCCTCCCACAACAGTAGCCGAGGCTCTGCATCACTGGGTCAATCTCCTGCTCAAAAACTTCAGCGAGTTTGGAGCAGAACTTGTAGACTCGTGATGTTTTACGATTGTACAGCCAAGCGTTATTGAACATCAGCCAGATGTCATCAACATACTGCCACGGGTCTTGGTACTGACCTGCAATCCACAGAAATATTGTAGAACAATAAATTCAGACACTTGTTTTATTAGAGTACATCATTTTAAAAAAAGTGTGTGTGTGTCTGTGTGTGTGTGTGTGTGTGTGTGAGG